TGTTATTGGATGACCAATAATAAACTGATATAATAACTTTGTTATATCGTTTATTTTTAGGTGTCTAGTGTTTTTTTGGTAGGGGCCGTGCTCTTAGGCAAGAAGCGTAGGTACGCACAATTTTACTTAGTGCCGATGGTCGAAAAAGATAGTGCAATTATCTGGACAGGGTTCCAGATAACAAAATCAGAAACAACTATTGTCGCTGCTTACTATTTCGCGATCAATGAATGTTGTTTCTAACACACAGTCTATTATGTTCGAACCTCCTGAATGTTCTTATTTCGAGCAACTGGACATTACCACGAAAAAGTGATAAGTTTTTATTGGATACCCCATGTCAGTCTGATTTTCTGCGTGGTAAATCGAAATGGTAACGTTTTTTTTTTTATTTAAATTGGTTGGAAAATGTGTCTTGTTTGATTGACGGGATAGTCTATAACAAAACCGATATCAGTGAAGCCTTGTTTGTAGAAATGAAAGAAATTATAGCTGACAAAGGGACCTTTGTTCCGTATCCGTGATGAAAAAGTCCGTATTATTATGTTTTCGGCTTACTCACGTAATTACTTGACGAGGAACTCGACTAGTTTCAAACCATACTAAAGGCTCATATTCATGAGCAGCATTTCGCGACCCGCGACGCTGTGACTGTCACACTGCTACTGTTAAACTGTCAAACACCAAGCGGTCACCGGTGACCGCAACCTATTGTTCTATAATTGTGTCTATAATGACGGTACTCGACGAGTTAATTCCGTGAGTAAGCCGAAAACATAATAATATATTTAGTAATTATGTCTCACGAAAGTTATAATACAAAGAAAGAGTCCGTGTTCGCCGTCATATCAATCTCGTATTGTTTTTCGAACTGCATCCAAATGCAGTTGCCATTTTTGTAGTCTATTATTTAGCTATCCAATATTTTGATGTATAATGAGGGTGTCGTTAAAAACTATCTACGTTGACATCATCAATGTTAAATTCAATGAAACAGGCTTCTTCAAAACGACATTCCTCTAATTTGCTAATTTCTTATTAGGTATACTTAACCACTCAACTTCTTTTTAATATTTTTTATGGGATAAAAGAGCCGTCAGATCACTTGATGGTAAGCATTCGGTGCCGCCCATGTACACCTGAAACACCAGAAGTGTTACAAGTTCGATACTGGCCTTTTAGAGATTAGGAATTTGAGGATTGTTGGGGATTCGGGAATTGCGGACATTTGGTAATTGAGGCTCCGGTGACCTCACACAATCAGCGCAAGCGTTGTTTGACGTTGGTTTTCTGTGAGGCTGTGGTATCTCTCCGGTCGAGCCGGCCCATTCATGCCGAAGCATGGCTCTCCCACATTTAGAATCACAATTAAATCCTCAAAATTATGGATTACGTACCTTCTAGGCTACTATAGAGGTACCTGTGTGCGTGTGTCGACGCGACGATGCGTGTTGTGAAAACAAAGCTGCCCAAATGCATATAAAGTGCTGTATTGCATGTTTATATTAAGTAGTTGTAGTTATTTTTATACTTAACACTGGTAGGTAGTGTTTCGTCGTGCCCTTGACCTTATATTTTCAGTGTTAAAGTAGGTTTTTCCTCGCATTTGTGCGGAAATTTCAATTCATAAATTTATTTTTATCGATGTTTCTTGGATACGATGATTCATTCATTTTACATATTCACGATTCAGAGAAAACGTCTACCTACTTATAGATGACTGAGTTTTTACAATTCTAAATTCTTGGCAATAGCGTCTGCTTTGCAGAAAACTTTGAAAATGAAAATAAAGATAATAAAAGTCGCAAAAAGTTAGATACATTTTCTATTTTTTCTGTGTTATACACAAACTGAAACCTATTTATTACCCCTGTCTGATGTAGGATCAGTCAACGTAAAAATCTCGTTTGGCCAGAAAGTCTCGCAGAACCTATAAAAATAATATCTTTAGCATTCTAACTACCATATTATCAACGACAATAAAAGACCTTTTAATAAAGGACAATTACGTGAATAAGACACTGAACCCAAATATCTACGTAATGAATAATGCAATGAAACCGCTTCGCTTGGCCGAGTTTAACCTTGATCTTACGACCAATCATTATGTTGTTCTTACATCCTGTAAAGCTACTACGCAGGCTATTTAATGAAATCTAGATTTTGGAAGTAGAAAAAGGTCTGTCTAGACTTTTATTTAAGTTTCAGTGATCGTGATAGCAAAACAGACGTGGCTACATAATGGTGCGCCAACATCTAACTACTTAATTCGCTAGATGTGGGCACATCTTTATAGCCTTTAATTTTCGAAACTACGCAAATAAATTCCAGTTTTGCCCGTTTTTGTTAGACGGTAGGAGTTATGGAATACTGTTTAGGTGCTACCTTATATTTTTGTAACTAAGCTAGTCTCTATGTGAAGCTTTACACGACTGAAACTTAAGAAGTGAAATTCTTTGCCAGTCTGTGTTTCATGAAGGGGTTAACAAGGGTGTCTTCTTAAGTGACTAGTTCGCGTGTTCGGGCAGGCGTGCTTTATCGTGGGCCGCATCGTAGCTTACCACCAGGCGAGATAGAGGCCAGACCAAATGCGGACTTATTTCCAAAACAAAAAAGACTAATTTATTATAACTATGCGTTGTAAGTGTGGTATACAAATTACCTGTATTTAAACGGACATATCTTGAAGCATTAGTGTCGAAAGTAGATAAGTGACACACTTTACCTAGAGATAGTATCTAGTCCCTTGTTATTCACACAGGTGCAATACACGTACCTACTCGACATTGATAAGAAATAGTCAATTGTAGGTAATGACTTCATGATTAGGTAGCTGTAATAATTCCCAAAAAATGTGTTGGACGGATATATTGTGTTGCTTGACAAGTATTAATGTAACTATTATTTAAAAATGTTGCAAAACGCCTGGTCGACGTATCTCTTAACCAGAGGGCTGGTCTCTTCCTCGGTCAGAGGTTAAGCATTGCCATACAACGTGGCAATTCTGCCAGCCTTCTGGGACTTTCCCAGCTGAAATCGATGCGGACGAATTTTTTGACGCTCTTATAAATAGTTATTTTAAGTTTTCTTTTATATTCTTTGTTTTTAAGTTTTAAATGTATTATAATAGTAATTAAGTGTCAAACAGTTCTAACAACATACAACATCAATACTAGAAAATGTAAAGTAAGCGGAAATAAATACCCTACAAATTGGCCATTTTTGGCCAATAAAAAATTTAATCCAGGCCAGCGTTTTTACAAAGAACAAATTCTTCTCAGATTAAGAGTATGTTAATTGACATACTCTTAATTGTACCTACGAGTTAAACCAATGAGAATATTTTTATGGCATAAGCTAAAGGTAAATGGACAAACGGATCACCTGATGGTAAGCAATGGGCTTCGCCCATGGACACCTGGAACACCAGAGGCGTTACAAGTGCGTTACTGACCTTTTGGGGATAAGGAATTTGTGGATTATTTTGGATTCAGGGATTGGGGAGGTTGGGGAAGGGGGGAGTAATTGGACCTCCGGTAACCTCACTCACACGACGAAACACAACACAAGCGTTGCTTCACGTCAATTTTCTGTGAGGCCGTGGTATTACTCCGGTCGAGCCGGCCCATTCGTGCCGAAGCATGGTTCTCTCATACTTAGAAATGTACATAATCTTCACATTGTCCTTAGTAATAAAACTTTATTTTTTTTATTTTAAACCATATTTTAACTATATTTTAAACCAACAAACACAGTCAATCAAGTACTATCAAGGTAGTTCCACTATCGATAACATATCTAGTCTATATATCTATATTGAGTCATATGAATCGAAAATATTGATTATTTGTTGTAAATGAATCACCTACTTATTTATAATAGTAAGTACACACGTGTATTACCATGTTTGATTAGATAAGACAAATTTATTTGGGAATAATGATAGAGTTATCTCCTGTGTATATTACTAAATGACAGTTAAATCTAACTTGTCATTAAACTTTTATATTTGGTCAATATAATGCAGTGTGCTGTCGCTTTTTGTGCCTTTAGGCTTAATTCACTCTGTCTCCTGCCGTAATTCACCGAGGGAAGTGGAAACTATCGTTTTTTTTCTTCTCTTGTATCGTCTGATTTATTTCGTTGCGAGAACCAAGACAGTTATTCATGTCCCTGGGACGCACCGGACTTCAGTGTTCCGATGTGTTCATGGTTGTATCTACTGTAGATCCTGGCTTACAGGAGCTACACTGTGCTGTACAAAAAATTAACTACAATATAAGTTGCCTTGTATTCGTTTATATTTAGTGAGTAAAGACGTCAAGCGAGTACAAAAATAAACAAACTAGTTTTCAATTCTTAATGCGCAGGGATTTCCCCAAACTTGTTCCAAGGTCGAACGTATTGTGAATGAACTATTGAACGAATGGAAGGAAATATGCGGAAATATACTTATAATAAGCGTTTATTTTTTCCAGTTTAGTTTTTTCAAAACATTAACAACAAAAATTAAACACTAATCCTTGAATTAATATTTACATAGTATTATTGTATTATTTAGACTATAAGCTAATAATGAAAACAATCTTAGTACGTAGTAATAGCAGTTATACGGAGTCTGGAATTGTGCCTGGTATATGGCAATAGGCTCACCCCTATTATATGGGACTCATAACATAAATTCTCGACTGCCTCGTAGGCCGAGTGGTCGCAAGTGCGACTGCCGGGCAAGGGGTCTGGGGTTCGATTCCCGGGTCGGGCAAAGATCCACTGGGTTTTATAAAAAAAATCTCAGTAGTAGCACGAAGTCTGGAATTGTACCCGGTATTTGGCAATAGACTCACCCCCTACTACATGGGATTCAAAACATAAATAGTGAAAAGTGGGTGTTACATTGTACAGTCAAATTATAATGTGTACACCACGTGTCTTCTTTTTTTCAACTTTTGTCAGTTATTGCTTGTTTTTTCATTGTTATAATATGTTTGTGATATCTACAGAATCTGGACGAGGTACACATAGCTCTAGAAGTATGTCAGGAGCCGCGGGTGATGAACCCTGGAGCCGCCGGAGCCCTGCCCGTGCCTGGAAAATACAGCTACATACACAAGGTACTTTTTTGCTTTCTAAAAAAGTTTTAGTGATATATTTTTTACTGTTTTTTTTTATTGTTTACACATTGTAATTGCAGGTGATAGATGGAATCTCAGTGGCTGTGAACCACGTGCAAATAGACTTTAACTGTGAAGCATTCACCAGCAGTGTTCAGGTAAGATTTGTAATCAAACAACTTGACTAGCAGAATGACAAATGTCATAATAGTCAATGAATAAATTGTATCTTAAAAGCCACAAATGAAGTAACTAGAACGATGTAGATACTCCTCGTATAATACTTACAATTGGGTAGATGACAAATTTTTATTTTAATGTCCGTTTGGTAGATTATTTAAAAACATTACACACGTATTCTTTATTTTCTTACGGAAACTAATAGTTTCGAAGATATATTGATTTGTAATATCGCATGACGTCACTTCTATGTACATTTTATACGTAGAAATCACGTTTTAGCCCATACTCCTAAACTTTGATTCGTTTTATCCAAGTATTGTTTTCTTGTATGCCAAAATAACTATATGTATACTAAAACTACGTTTCTAATATTTTTTTATTACCTAAATGACGGACTAATTAGATTTTTACTTCTCATACCGTGGCATCATCCCTATTATATGCTACAGCATTAACCCCCATGTAAGTATTATAGCCTCCCATCAAAGACGATTGAAAATCTCATTTACATCGTATATTTTTATGTGACTTCAGATCTCAAGAGTAACCGTGGAGTCTCGAACGCCGGAGGGCCGGAAAGGAGACCTAAGACTGACTAGAATCAAATCGCCTGACACCGGACAATTGCTTATATTTAAGGTAACTTCATAATTCATGTATTTATCCATTAATGGCACTGGAGTGGATTTATTCTTAAGCAACTTCTGTGTGACTCCTTCGCAGGAGGCTTAAAGATTTCTTTTGTTTAATACGCATCCTGAGTTTTCTTCGTGATACAGAAAATTCGAATTTTCGATCCCAGAATTTGATGCAGGTGCTAAGTAGAGTGCAATGAACTTGCTATCTATGGGACTTACAATATTTTAAAGAAGTCAACCGCTTAACTTAACTCTTTCGATACCAACTTTTTTTTTCAACAGTTCATGCGATATTCAACCCTATATCTTTTGTTACAGGAGTTAGAATGGCAGAGCGCTCGCATAGAAGCCAAAGCCCACGGCGCAGCCAACGCCAACCTCCCGCCCTTACGACTGTTACTGGGCAACACACACTGTCGGATTGTCATCAAAAAGAGACTGTCAGGTATAAACTATTTACAACCTTATTTTCAATCTGATTAAATCGGTTTTAGAATGCAGCAGATGTTAATTAGGTTACATTTACTACGCGGAGAACGTCGTGTGACAACGATGCGGCGCGCAGATGTTACTTTCATTGTACGTTTATCGTGGAATGTTATTAATAACTATGAGTCCTTAGCATTACTTGAAAGTAGTTGAGTATACTGAAATGCTACTCAATTTTAAGGCGTGCCTTCTTAAGTATCGTGCTATCGTCGCTTTATAAAGAATTTGTAGCAACAAAACTAATCTTGAGACGCTCTCAAAATTCAAATTACATACATGCATAACATCACGCCTATTATCCTCGAAGGGGTAGGCAGAGGTGGACATTACGGGACTTAATGCCACTGTACAATGTAATACCCGCTATTCAGTATTTATGTTTTATGAGTCCCATGTAATAGGGGGCGATTTCCTTAAAATTTGTTTAAATATTTAGAAATTACCTTGCCAAATAGTGACGTGACTATAAAAAAATGTTTTCACAGACTGCGCAGTGATAGGGTCTCGTCTAGCGATATGCCCGGAGCCCCTAGCGTGGGCCCTGACAGACGGACAGCTCCGCGCCATGTTGGCGTGCGCGGTGGCACTCGCCAAGCCAGTGCAGAGAGCTACTGCCGCCGCTACTAGGATCAAAGCTTTACGGAAGGTAAGGACTAACTTCTTTTTCACCAACCTCTTCTTAATTTTATGGAACCCCCTAAGCTAAGATACGTCACATTTTGGTTTACAGAGTTTACACCATAAGTGACACCGAACAGTGTCAAGTAAGGGGTTAGTTTAGGCGATACGTCACGTACGCTAAGTCAATTTTAGATAAGAAATGGTTTAGAAAGGAGTGTTTTGTGAAAGCGGCTATTAGTTTTGTAAAATAGTACCTATATTAAGTGCATAACCAAAGTACCTAATTAAAATGCCCTCTCTCCCTCCCCCATCCCCATTCCCCAAATCTTTCAATCCTCAAATCTCTCAAGAACAAACCCCCCAATGCAATTTTAACTCCTCTGCTGTTACGAATGTCCATGGGCGACACCGAATACTTACAATTAGGTAATGCCAATGCTTGTTTGCCACCTTCTCCTACAAAAAAAAACTCATTTGACTCAATTAAAACCATTCAGACCTAGATTTTTCGCAGAATTATTTACATTTCTATCATTATTTTCAACCCAGATCGAGGAGCCTCGCGAGCAGATATCGAGCAGACCGGCGACGGGCGAACGTGACATACTAGCGCGGATGTTCGCCAAGCATGACGTCAGGGAGACCTCGTACCATCTACTGGCGCCACGGATAGACCTGCATCTATGTGACGATCCTGGATGTGAGTCATATTTCATGATACGTACATAATTAAATCTGTATGTGAGCCATGCTTTTGTACAAACGCGTCAGTTCAACCGGAGTGATACCACGGCTTCAGAAAGCCGGCGTGATACAACGCTTGTTACGTGTGAGTAAGGTTATCGGAGGCCAATCGACCCAATCCCCTCCCCCTAACTCTCCTCCTCCCCCTCTCCAAAGGTTGGCAGCGCACTTGTAACTCCTCTGACGTTGCGGGTTGAGTTAATTAAATGTGGGAGAGCCAGCTTCGGCACGAATGGGCCGGCTCGACCGGCGTGATACCACGGCCTCACAGAAAACCGACGTGAAGCAACACTTGCGTTGTGTTTCGTCGTGTGAGTGAGGTTACCGGAGGCCCAATTACCCCCCTCCACAGTCTCCCCAATTCCCGAATTCTCCACAATCCTCAAAAGGCCAGTAACGCACTTGTAACGCCTCGGTGTTTCAGGTGTCCATGGACAGCGCCGATTGCTTACCATCAGGTGATCCGTCTGCTCGTTTACCGGCTTATGCCATAACAAAAAAACATAGGCGTCATAGACGGAACCAATTACTTATCCTTCAAGTGATCCGTCTGCTCATTGGCCTCCCTATCTCAAAATTAATTTCTTACTAAATTTTGCTCAGGTAATGCTGATCTTTATGAAAACTTTATAAAACACAGTTGTTTTGAACAAACTAAACATTTCACAGTGGGTCGTTCAGAAAAGCCGTCTCTATCCAATGGCGGTGCTCTGCAAGTGACGCTGGTCAGCATGCAGGCCGACCTGTTCCCATACCACAAGGCGTCGGACGACAGGAGACATTGGCGAGGATATAGGTTAGTAAATGCTGTTCTATAAATTTAACGAAGGAAGAAAATTAGTGCGTTCTTGTATTAGCAAAGGTAATAATCTCCTGTCACTACAATACAGTTGCCTGAAATGAAAATTCGCTACCGAAGATTTATCACTGTATTCGTTCAGTTATATCTTTTATTATAATTTATTCATGTCTTCGGAAACATTAAAAGAGTAATGTATTGGCTATGTGCGCGACGGTGGCGCCGCGTAGCGTTTACAACATTTGCGGAAGCTGTCAAATAATAACAATGTTAACATTATAATTTTCTTTGCAAATATAAATAAAACCAATGATTAAAATATTATTCTTACATTATTTAAGTGCAATTTATTCAATAGTTTTACTGTAAAATGAAATAAAAACCGGGTTTGCATCATCCGCATTTGTTTCCAATTTCTGCCGTGTTGTGCGCTGCGGCCGTTATCTGTCCGCCACTACTCGCTTTTGCACATAGCCAATAGTCAGGAACTAAATTTCGTTTAGACGAATTTTGAAATACTATTTCTTTTGTATTGTATTGTGTACAGGGAGGCGGCGACTCCCCACAGCCAGTGGTTGTCGCAGGCACTGTCGTCATTCTGCACGACGCTGCTAGACTCGCTCGACCCGCGCCCACTCACTCCTAGCTCCAAGGTACTTCATATTCTAAATATTTTTTTACAAGCCCCCCACACCCTCCCAAAACCGCTGCAACTCCTGTAGCCAGGATCTACAGTAGATACAACCATGAAAACACCTAAACATTGAAGTCCGGCGCGTACTAGGGACATGAATACCTATCTTGGTTCCCGCAACGATGCGAATCAGAAGATATTATAAGAGAAAAAAAAAGATATTTATAAAAAGTAATTCTGATTGTTGTCGTGCTAGCCCGGAGGTATAAGACGCCCGCTACTCCCATCGCTGCAGGTTCGAAACCTACCAACGCCAAGTACTTATATGACTATTTTCGAGTTTTTAGTACTTTCTAAAGTTATTTAAAAACCACTGATTAACAGTGAATGAAAACATCGTGCGGAATACTGGGATTATAATTTCTAATTATAAGTTTGAAATCACCAACACGTATTAAGCAAGCGTGGTAAAAGTTATCAAACCGTCTCTGTGCGAGATGAGGCCTTTAGTCAGCAGTGGCCACTTATACGCTATTGCTAATGATGATTCTGATTGAAATACAAACTAGACTAGTTGCTTAAGTTTTAAATTAAATTAAATTATAAATTTCGGTTGGTGCGGTGGCTGGGCAACCGGCTGCCGTGCAACGTGTCGCGGGTTCGATTCCCGCACGGAACAACACTTTGTGTGATCCACAAATTGTTGTTTCGGGTCTGGGTGTCATTGTGTATGTGAACTTGTATGTTTGTAAACGCACCCACGACACAGGAGAAAATCCTAATGTGGGGCAACGTTTTATATAAAAAAAAGTGTCAAATCTTTGCATAAAATGTTCTTACGTGTGGTTCTGTGTTAATTTGCAGATGAGTCAACCCGAGAAGTCGGAGGAGCCAGTCTCTAACGGCATCAAACACAAACAGACTCCCACACAACACAACGCTTCCACTGCTCCGTCCACTAACTCTACTACTGCCTCGCAAGGTACACACTAACAATTTCAACCTTATTACGTACTTGGTATAAAGTTGAATATTTATCAGCAAGACGCTGGAGACAATTAATGGTTACTTCTGTGCGTATTGCTTATATATTTTCTACCTTATTACTTGCTTAGCATAAAGTGGAAAATCTATCGACACGACCCAAGCGATAACCCACTGATTTAAACTCTACACTAAGAACCGATTTTTCAATCCTTATTTAATTTTTAACCATAGATTAAAATTGACATATGACAGTTATTAGTATGAAGGAATTGTCAAATATTCAAAGTTATTGCTCAATTAAAATTTAACTGACCATTGAAAAATCGACCCTAAGATATTTAAAGCTTATTTTGTGTTGCAGCGTCGCCGACTAGAACGCGCATACTACAGCAGCTCGGCAAACTGATGACGACGTGTCTTGTACTTAGGATAGACGACTTCACTGTTTACAAGGTAACATTTCAAAGCAATACTTGGTTTGGGATCTCAAAATTCCCCTTAGGCCGTCCATAAATTACGTAAGATGTTTAAGAGGGGGAGGGGGTAGACTCAAATCTCATCTAATCTTACGTTGGAGAGAGGAGGGGTCTCGGCAAATATCACGTAATTTTTTTCTGATAGATAAAAAAAAATACTATTTTTACTGACTTCATAGTTCATTTATTCCAGATTGGTACATGCACATGGATTTTTTTCTTTTTGCAATAACAATCCAATGCGTTTACGTGAAAAACCAACATTTTGAAAAATCTCACGTGAGATTGGGGGATGGGGGAAGGTGTTGAATAAAATCTCACGAAATCTCACCAAGGGGGAGGGAGGGACAGACAATTAAAATTATGAACGCCCCCTTATAAGTATTAATAAATGTTGTGGAAGGAGCCAGTGGATGCAAATGGCGAGTGGTCGTTCGACGTGGAGGACCAAGGGGTAGGCCTATGTCCAGCAGGTCTTTCCGCTGTCGATGATGATGTGGAATAATCCAACCAAAACTGATAAATTATCATAAAACTAGCTGTTACTCGCGACTTCGTCCGCTTAGAATAAGCTTCCTGTTTTATCCCATGGGAGCATTTAATCGGGGTAGAAAGTAACCTAAGTCACTCCATACCCTGGCTGTACCAAATTTCATGTCGCGGAGAATCTAACGGGTAACCGGGGCTCCGGCTCGACGTGCAGGAGAAGGAACGGGGTGGTTTTTAGTCAGTAAGAGTCTGATAATTGCTCCCACCTCACCCAGGCGGGAGCAGTCATTCGATGATTATCCCCCCCCCCCTTAAAAAAATACCAAATTTCATCAAAATCTGTTCAAAAGTTCCAGCTTCATTGACGGTTTGTCCGTCATCTAAACAAAGAAACTTTCACATTTTTAATATTAGTATGATCGCAGTTCAGTATCAAAAGTGAGTAAATCAATGAGTCAAAAAATGTCTCTAAGTAGCTAAATTACACTATCACCAAATGTATCTTAATATTCCAGGTATCGACGGGGTCCAAGAACCGCGACGCGCCCCGTCCACTAGTGAGCGCTGAGAAGGCCACGCTACCGGGCGACGCCGGGCTACTTCACGCCGAACTTACTTTCTTCTACTATCCTGGAGACGTCTGCTTTCCTGGTCAGTTCTGCTTGTAATTTACTTACTGATAACAACAAAAATAATCTAAATGTATTCTGTCCCTCTTGGTCCTAATTACGTAATTCAAGGATTACGTACAGAAGGACTACAGTTTTATGAATGGGAAAAACATGTGTAGAAATTATTGTATTACTATATAGGTGTACATAGAAAATGAGCACCTCTAATCTAATAGAATCATATTTATATTTTATATACGACAAAATATGCCAATGTTACGAATACAATTTGAATTTAATTGAAACCGCAGATAGATGTTTAATAATAATAATACATTAATACAACTTAATTATATCTTATACTCTTATACTATTATATAAAGCGGAAAAGTTTGTTTTTTTGTTTGTTTGTTTGTTTGAACGCGCTAATCTCCGAAACTACAAGTCTGATTTAAATAATTCTTTTTGTGTTGGATAGTGCATTTATCCAGGGTGGCCATAGGCTATAAAACATCACGTTACGACCAATGGGAGCTGAGCACGGCGTGTGAAACCACGCGGAAGTAGCTAGTTATTAATAATAATAATAAATACTACTATGTCCTCAGTCCCAGCCCCGAAGCTGTACGTGCAGTTGAGTCCGGTCCGTATATCCGTGGACGTGAACACAGTAGTATGGCTGGGCGCCTTCCTGCCGCATGTCGTGCCCCGCGGACAGGACATGGACATCGAGGACGCGCCGCCTGCATACATGGATGTTAGGATGGAAGCTATCATGCCTAAGGTAAGAAGTTAGTCTGTACGTTACTGTACATTTTATAATTTAAATAACGCTTCTGAAGTTTAGTGATTTGTTAGTATTTAACCCTCGTATTAATTGGGTACAATCTTTAATCAAAAATAAATGTTTAACTTTACTGTTCAATACTAATATTCGAATAGTAGGCCTTAGTATACGATACGGAGCCACGGAAGGCCTAACGGGTTGCCGGGGCTCCGACTCGAAGAGCAGGAGTCGGAACGGGGTGGTTTTTAGTCAGTAAGAGTCTGACACTCACTCTTTTTTTTTTTTTTTGTTTTTTTTTTTTTTTTTTATGGGGGGAAATCCTCATGGACTGCCTCCGCCTGGGGAAAGGCGGAGGGGTGTGCCGGACTCTTACCGGCTAAAACCACCCCAGTGCCTCCTCGCACGTGCGTGCGGGGCCGCGGGAGTCCAAATTCATCCGCAGCCCCGCATTACAGTGCCGGCCCGTAGATCAGGGCCCCGTCACCTGCACGGAGCAGTGCACCACGTGCATCGCCTCAAAGGCGTACGCCGACACCCGCGCGCGCCTTCGACTCGGGTCTATCGATTCGGGGGCGGGGACTTCCCCAAGTCCTTCGCCCCTGGACCCATTCATGGGGGCCGGGCTGACACTCACTCTCGCCTAACCCAAGGCGGGAGAAGTCAATGCATGATTTTCACCCCTCAAAAAAATAAATAAAAGCCTTAGTATAACTCAAAACTACTCAAGTTACCTCGACAAATAGTTACTTAAGTACGTCGTAAAGCATAGGAAATTAATTGGTATTATTACTTCCAGCTGGTACTAGAAGCAGGTCCAGAACACGTATCAGCGCAGCGCGACAGGCCTCGTGAGCTCCATCTATGCACTGCGCGCGCTACGCTCACTAACGTACGAGAGTCGCCGCGTGCCAGTCAGTATACATTTCTATTATATTCTATTTTGATATCACCTATCTCATTTTCATATTTTTATACTCTATTCTTAAGTTACTATAACTCGTTATACAGCGCGGATTTTTATACTTCCAAAGAGTTCCAAGTCAAAAAGTATTTTGGAATCTGCGTAATATTTAAGCAGTTTTAAGTGTGGGAGAGCCATGCTTCGGCGTGCCGATGGGCCGGCTCGACCGGAGTGATACCACGGCCTCACAGAAAACCGACGTGAAGCAACGCTTGCGTTGTGTTTCGTCATGTGAGTGAGGTTACCGGAGGCCCAATTACCCTCTCCTTCCCCAATCTCCCCAATTCCTGAATCCCCAACGATCCTCAAACTCCTAATCCCCAAAAGGTCGGTAACGCACTTGAAACGCCTCTGGTGTTCCTGGTGTCCATGGGCGACGCCGATTGCTTACCATCAGGTGAACCGTCTGCTCGTTTACCGGCTTATGCATAAAAAAATATTTCGTCTCCTTTTCTTTACTATCAAACCTCATCCTATCACAGGCTGATTATTCAAGTTATCCAACTTTTCTTTGATGATTGTCTTTCAAGACATATTTTATTCAGCTGTCTACAGTACTTTCTTCTTCAAAAGCACGCCAAACTCCAATACAAGAAATCTGTACATGATGGCTCATGTATCATGACATCACGCCTTTTATCTCCGAATGGGTCAGGCAGAGGTGCACATTATGCCACTGTACAATGTAACACCCACTTTTCACTATTTAAGTTATGAGTCCCATGTAATAGGGGGTGAGCCTATTGCCATATACCGGGCACAATCCAGACTCCGTGCTACTACTGAGATTTTTTTTTAAACACAGTAATAGTTTGCCCGACCCTGGAATCGAACCTGAGACCCCTTGCCCGGCAGTCGCACTTGCGACCACTCAGCCAACGAGGCAGTATATAAATTTTCATGTATAAATTTTCCAATGTAGGTACTATTAGGCTATATTTCTTCCAGATTCAGCTGGTACGCGCGCAGACCTAGCGTCTATACTGGCAGCACTGCGCCGGTCCGCGCCGCCCCGGGATCAGTTCCCATGCGCGGTAGACGACATGGACCCCATACATGAACAGTTTATTTTACATGCTGATAGTGAGTATATTTTGCCTTAGAATTATAAAAAAAAACATGGATTTTTACCGAGTTTTAAATGCTGAATAAATTATTTTTTAAGTCTAATTATCAACCTATTTGTTATAAGTAGTGGACTATGTAAATAACTTACCAAATTATTAAAATTACGTTTATGAGCAACTCTGCGTAATGCCGCCGCGCTGCGCACGCTGCTCGTTAATAAAAGTCCCGTGTGACTTGACTCTAGTAGCGCATTTATCGTATTCACGTGTGTCGTATATTTAGTTAATGAAGTATTATTTTTATAATTCCATAGACTTGGACGACATAGACCGCGGTACAGCGATGAGTCCGGAGCTGTTATGGCGCGAGAATCGCTCAGTATGGTGCGCTCGCGTGGAGCCGCTGTGGGCAGACTTCTGCGGCGCGCGCGCCACTAACTACAAGCCTGCGCCCTTGTTGGATGCCACGCCGCTTACTGCTTGGGTAAATATTAAATAATATAATAATATGTCTTGATTACATAGGAGTAGGCAGAAACTACTACTTATACTATATTTTATACAAATTAAATTGAGTTATACATACTATATAAAGGTAAATACAACACAAATTACTTAAAATTTTCCCAGTTATGTTTCGCGGACGACTTCAGCCGTATCTGGATAGTGGCCCGTACGTGTGGCCTGGCCGGTCTCCAGCTCAACCATTACCAGATGCTGTTCCTCATGAGGCAGCTAGAAAGGATCTCCGAGATGACCGCCTGGCTCGCTCATGATGCGGAGAGGCAGCCTGATGCTGAAGATGGGTAAGGATCCTGGTTTTAATGGCATCACAGATGAGAAAAAGCTTCTGACTTCTGAACATCACTACGAAGTTTGACACACACAATTTACTCCTCCTGGTTTAAATCAGGAAGTGTAAATTGTGTGCAAATGAGTATTCTACTGAAACTGGGGTGAGATACGATTAACAGTGAAATTTTAGCCGAATGAAACAAGTTGTACTTATTGGCAGACGTGCTCCATAGTAGGCTGCATCATCGCTTCCCACCAGACGAGATAATTATCGAATACCGTTTGAATAAAAAAAATTGTTTTCTCAGCGCAAAGTCTCATACAAACTTGGAGTCTAAACCTTAAAACTATTAAACCGATTTTAATAAAACTTTAAGAAATATAGGTATTTTTATACGTCAAAGAATCTGAAGAAGCATTCCTGATTCAATACTTCTGTTTTATCCATAGGACCATTGTAGTTGGCGTAGTGGTACCAGCTGTGGAGCTAACGTTTGTGCTTCCATCCAACTGTCCTGGACAGGAGTCGTCCAGGGACCTGGACAGCGTGCCTTTAGACTCCTCCAGCTTGCAAGACTTAAAAATGGGTGGGTAAATCTTTCTTTTACTATTCTGTTGTGCAAAAGACATTATTATTTACGAGTGCTCTTTTCATTACTTCTACTCTCTTCTTTGTTTCTCTTCTTTACTGTAAGGAGAGGTAAAAGATTCTTGTTAATGTAAAGGATACTATGAAGACGAATGAACTATGCATAAATTTACTTCTTGCAAGATATTTATGGATACATGTTCAACTAAACCTACGTAGGTAATGGTTAGAAGTGGCCAGGAAACATTCTGAAGTCCTGAAATGTTAACATTTTCCTACTACTAATTCTCTTTTAAATACTTAATTAATATTGATGAATATGTATCGATGGCTATTGGCCGTAAACAAACGCCGTATTGCTTGTCCAAAAAATCTAAAGTTCCAACTCGTTATTCGAGTCTAAATATTACTCAGCAAAAGTTGACTTTTAAAATAAACAAAGTCAAAGTCAAAATTATTTATTTTAATTTAGCCAGGAAGACACTTTTAAAAGTAAAAAAAAAGTGAAGCTATTTGCTCGTTCCAAGGTATAGATTCCTATGGAGAAGAACGAGCAAGAAACTCCATAGGTTACTCTTTTTCAATCGAGTTCAAACAAAATTCTATGTTCTGTATTTACCTCAAACTTATAAACTATTCTACTTTTATTATTTGTCTATACTATATTACTTTATTTAAGTTGTCTATATATTTACTTTCACGTTCTTCTATCTGGGTGTTACTGGGCAGAGCACCAAACTGTGTCCACGCTAGGCGCGTCCACGCCGCTCGAAGAGAACTGCAGTAAGTTTTGGGTTCGAAAACATAACAAAAATGATCCTCAATGTCACTCCACTGCATTTAACCTTACTAACACGATAGGCTATTAATTTTTTTTAATTTGACGTCATTTTACTAACTATTAAAACAAATTTGTGCTTCAGTAATAACTTATTTCATTTTGGTCGAACAACAGTTATGCTTTTTGGACCTTGTGTTCGGTTTCCGAGTTGAACAAATAATAATAATTGGGATTTTTTGTTATGAACAATCTTAAACAAACATCTTTGTTTTATAAATGGATGTTGTGCTTGTTTAGCAATTTATTTGCTTTCCAAATAGCATTAACTAAAAAAAATACACTTATCACTTCATTCGCGACATGTTTTCATGTTACCTGCGGGAATATAGTGAAAATATCTAAATCGTGCTATGTCTGTAACATAACATAACTTTTATCCCCGAAGGGTTAGGCAGAAGTGCACATTATGCCACTGTATAATGTACCACCCACTTTTCACTATTTATATTATGAGTCCCATGTAATAGGGGGTGAGTCTATTGCCATATACCGGGCACAATTCCAGACTCCGTGCTACTACTGAGATTTTTTAAAAACCCAGTAATACTAAAGCAATTGATTGTTGTGTGTCTGCACTTTGGTTACCTACAAGCTCCAACTTTTTATTTAGTTTTTCACTCTTGCACTATTTTTTTTCTTCTTTTCTCGTAAAGAAAGTAGATGCTCTGTGTGGTAAGAATAATAATAATTATGTGTTGTTCTAAGCATTGCTGTATGCTAATTATTGGCCACTTTGAAACTTGAATAATCATGGCAAATGTTTAACTTTTAATTAAAACTGTAAACTGTCGTAACATAGACTAATATGCAAGTCTCTAAAATTAAAAAAACATTACATTTAATGTAATTTTAATAAATTAAAAACTAATTTTCCTCTCGATGATTTCCATTTTCCCTTTTACATATTTTGCTATGATTATTTAATCAACATAACTAAATTGAATTAACGTTTGCTTTTAATTCCGGTTTTAGCAAATGAATACCAACTTTGTATAAACCCCAGTAGGTTCTGAGGCGACGATGGCGCCCTCTATGATGGACCGCGACAGCGGCGTACTGGCCACCACCTCCGTGGAAGTCTATCAGCCTATACCCATTGAGGAACCGCCTCCACCCAGCCCTGGATTAAGTTTTGGAGGTAAGATGCTGTATATTTTGGAAAATTACTGCTATTCAGTGCTAAGAAAATAATAAATACGTTTCGTGCCTACAATCTCAATCGCTTGAATATAATTTATTGTTAACGAAAACGCGTTATTTTTTTTTTACTCATGTTGTAGTTAGCTTAATACTACACTAAGTTCAAGTTAAACAAAGCACTGAAATCTAAGGTCAGTTGTCTATGAGATGGTTTTCTTAATTTATGAATTGACATAACATAACATTACGCCTCTTAATCATCATAATTAACATCACCCATGTTCTTACAGGATTCTCATCAATGCGTCGCGGGTTCACGTCGCTAGTGACGTCAATAGACAGCGCATTGACGCGCGACGACACGCGCAGTGACGCGGCGTCCACGGCCAGCTCCGACAGTGACCGCTACGTCGTCGTCGGCTTGGCGGCCGAGTCGCCTGATGATGCTGACATGGCATTTAGGTAAATCATACTTTCTCTTGGGAGAACCTAGGAGCCGTCTCGACCGGAGTGATACCACAGACTTACAGAAAATTGGTGAGAAATAATGCTTTCGGTGTATCTCATCTTTTGAGTAGGGTTACTGGAGAAGCTAATCTCTCCATCTCCAATCCTTAATCTACAAATTCCTGAAAGGCCAGCAACGCACTTGTTACTCCACTGGTGTGGCAGGTGTCTTTGGGTGCACAATCGTGTAAAAATAATCTTTACCTTATCAGTAAATCTTAATAGTATTTTAAATTTAACATGATTTCAAATTAATATCCGCAGGGAGTTTGAGCATGGACGCGCAGCATCGTCAAGCGGTGTAGAGGTAGCAGCCGAGGTGGTGGAACGATCCTCGTCACCGAGCGACCACTCTGTGACCAGCTCTTGCAGGAGAAGAGATGTCGTATGTTTTTCATACTGTTTTATTTAAATTATAGCAGAGGAGTTTCTTAACACTGGTTTAAACTTGGGTCCTAGTCCTAGTCTTATATGAAATAAACATACAGGATTTTTTTATTACATATGATTTCTAGTGTTCAAAATTACCACCATACTGGATATTTTCATCAACCGTTTGACTTGTGATAGAAAACATTTGATTGGACATGTTATTGTCGGTGATCTGTGAGTCTACATACCTTTTTTTTTATTCTCATAAGAACATGCATTGATGCAGAGTTCACTTATGTGCGAAATACATTTAACATAATATTTATATGACATACTACATAATGGTCTAGCGACGTAGCAATGTATGTATACATGTGTTTTAAATAGAGATTGTTAGATCTTTAATATGTTTTACCTTTTTGGAATCATGCAATAAAACTTCTTTATTCAGTAAAATCCACCTTTTAAACGATATTATATTCAAAATCTTTCGCTAAATTCGCAACAATCCTCCCTCAAGATATCAACAAGTACTTGGCGTCTGAACAACATACACATAGTTCACCAAAGCGGTGGTGGAAGGACCTGCCTTCGACTGGCTGCCGACGACCTGAAGAGTGACGAGTGTAACGCTATACCCTGGGATGAGTTCCAGGTGAGTTCTGGCATCGATATCCTCGGTCCATGTGTTTGGCTGATGATGTGAGCTACTTTTTATAGTTGGTAGGTAAGGAGTATCGTTATCATGTAATGATTTTCAGTTAACTCCTAAATATTGTTGTTTATTTTGATAGTGTTGAACACCTTTTTAGAAGCTCCCTGTTCAATATTCGAAGTATACTATATTCCTTCTACAGCTTAAAGAAGAAAAGACAAATAAAGAGTGGACAAGATGGAAGCCTATATTTTCAGTTTTAAAATTGAAAGCCTCTCCGGCTAAAAGTTAGAATTTGATTAATCTGAGAAAACAATGGAATTGTTGCTTTCCAACTGTTTTGTCATTGTATTCATGATTGAGAGTAAATAAGATAGTTTGATATCGATTTGATGACAAAACATTTTCAATAGAATACCTACCAACTACGAAAAGTTTAAAAGCAAAAGTATATATGTGCAAACAAAATTAATTGTACTGAAAGTGTCCAATCTCCTAACTTGCAAAATTGACCATACTGTAATTTTTTTTTAATTTAACCTGGATGTTTTCGCTACAATTTTCAAAATCCAAACATCATACACATTCACTGGTTTTTTGATTTTACCACACCTATTTTCAAGAGATTCTTTTAAACTAAACTAAAAATAATAATACTTATCAAAATATGACATTCATACATTATTAACCTACAACAATTTACTACATTTTATTATTTATTTAATTATAATAATAATAATAAACATAATTTACAATACACAAGTATTATTTGAGAATTTATTTATAATATTAATTATTAAAATAGCATGCGTCGGTACAGTCCGCATTATTTTATTTTCTGACCTTACATTCTTTGATAGTCTTCCATAATAGGTCGAGGCAGTGTCGTTGTGGATTATTTGAACTTATAATTTGATCAACAAGAATCACATTAGCTTGGTAGGGTACTATGAAACTAGACTGAAAAAAATAGAATTACTATTTTCGTGAATTGCACTAATAAGTACCAAATGACTATGACGAACTCACAGAAGTAAATTGTATGTATAATTTATCTTCGAAACTTCACATATAACATTATTTTTTGCAGAAAAGCTATGTTTATTCCAAAATACATCTAGTTCTGTCTAGCCGTTTGTGCGACAACACGAACATAAAATAAAATTCGTCGACATTCTTCTTTAAAACAAAACGATTATAGTTTAAATTAATTGACAAAGCTTTTGTGATTTAATAAAATATTTGCGTCCAAACGACGCTGCCTCATCAGATGTGCATGACTGTATCATCACGATCATTGTATCTCGTACCCAGTAAGGTGTATCGCTGTAATACTAAACTATGTTGATAAGGCTTCGGGTTTACGAGCGAGCGACTTTTGAACGACTATATTTTAATACTTAAAACCATTAAAAATCGATTAAAATACAATTACATTGACAAATATATATATAATAATAATAATATATAAATATTCAGGCCACAACATATTAAATTGTTACTTGCGCAAACTCAGCGCAACTGTAGCGCAAAAGTTAACGGTTGCGCAAAGGTCGTTTCACAGTCGCTCGCTTCAAAACCCGTCCTCAAACTGGAATGCATCCATTTTATCTCTAACTATATGTGTCTATGTGTGTTTTTTCCTCTATGGCAATTCCCGCCCGCTCGGCTATCGTGAACCGAAAGAACCGTCTCAAGGTATTTAGCTACGATCTATAGATAATCTATAGATCATTTGACACGATGTAGTGGTATCATTATGTTGAGTGCCCATAGATGTAGAGGTTATGTGTCGTAGCCAAGGGGGTTTGTCTGTGTATGAGTGAGACAAAAGATGTTTCTGTTTCTTTTTGTTTTATTTCAATTTTGTAGTGGTTGTGTTTGGTTACGATATAGTGTAGTCTTAAAATTAATCTGACTTTTATCAGAGAGATCACTTGTATTGTCTTGTTTCAATATTTTTTCATACTTATAAAGACTAAATGCTTTGGATATACCTTACGGTTAATCAAACGATCTATTTCTCAAGAACCAAACACAATTACCAAATTGAGACCAGAAACATCTTAACAACTGCTTCGTTGCTATCTGTTACATGTCCGCCATTTTAGCTTCGCCAGCGCCATCTGAAGGCTCAGGTAGGAAGCCCTTTGCTGACAATTTATTCCTACATTTCATTATACCCTAAGTCTTTGGTAACTGGAAAGTGAAAATAAACTTTCAAAAATATATTCATAATTTTGCATGATATAAAATTACTCGTGTATACAAATTCTGCTTTCAAGTTTCAAGTTTACTAAAATAAAAGTCCCCATATTACAATATTGTCAAAAATTACACATGACAAATAATATTTTAACTAAACATAGGTATTATGAATTCTTTAGAATTTCTTCTTCGCTTCTGCATGGTTGAACGTGTTATATGAAAAAAGTTTTGCACTGATTAATAGTTGTAATAATTTTTTTAGCTAAATCATTACCACTTGAACAAATATCATTTTATTATTCAATAATGGTTAATGGTGGTATAAATTCCACACGAAATAATGGTTTTAACTCACATATTAATAATCTCAGCAAGCTAAATACTTACAAATATTTCGCCAATCGAAAATGAACTCTATGTCCAAAAAGTGCATACCTTTCTTCATTAAGTGTGATCTAAATGTTGCATGTCCCGCACTGTCCTTTCATCTCCATCCACACAGTGTAAAGGTGTTTGTGACGTATATCCGCTTCGTGTGACGTTGTAACCGTTTTAAATACCGGCCGTTACTTTTAAACAGAAATCTACATTACAACCCAAACTATTCAAAAAAACTACCTTAAAATTGTCAACTTAAAGATCATTCTTGATCTTCTAATTCAAGTCTAGTGTTTGAAAGTATCTGCCGTCCCCAACCCATGTCGTGATCCCCCCTTCCTCCCCTAAATTAGCCCCTCTGAACACAGAACAAGTTCTCAATGAGGGCGCGGGCCTGGTTGGAGCCGGTCGTCTCTGAGAGTGATGAGCTGGCGCCGAGGAATGAGCCTCTAGTCGCCGCTAGACTTGTGAGGACTCAACTGCCGAGAGCACCTGAGGATAAGGTATGTGGAGTTTGTTGTTGAAATCAATGTAACCAGGTTTTAAAGAAATTGAAGTGCCAATAATATCAACACCTTAATTGATTTTGTACAATTTTGTAGATGAAACACTTCCATTAATTGGATTTGGATGTTAATGAGTTCGAATACTTTAACCCGAATGTTGATAAGTAGATAAGAATTCATACATATTTTACTGAATGTATACTATACTTATGACACTCTGACATTCTTAAACTAGTATTTTACTAAAGGCTTCCTCATCGTTTTCTCCAGGGTCTAGCACCATTCGAAGAGTTACTTGAGGCTCGGATCCGGGACCTTAGTATAGCTCTGAACATGAGCACAGCGTTAGCGCTCGCCGAGTTGATTGAAGATGAAGTGGTCGCGCCGCCTATGCCGCTTGAGGTAACAAATTACTGTATAGAAAGAAAAATAAAATAATATATTTGTAATAGTTTAAATAAAGATTGCGCATTGCACCATCAGTTGCGCAAGTACACAATGTTTTGCGCATCATAATTTCATATCCATATTAGCATACTTGTTTGTTTAATTACAAGTAGCGACCATTACCTACCACCTAAATCACCACAAATATACTTCCAGGTCCTAATAGAAAACGTGAAACTCCACTTAATAGAAGATAGACCGACGCGTTCAATATCATCACCACCGCCTCAACCTCTAGACATCGACCTGACTACATTAAGGATGACCAGGGACACTGCTGGGGTTGTTCGTTTAGGTCCTCCAGTGTCCACACCTTCGACCATAGCGTCTCCAGCCACGCCACAACCACAACCAGAATTAGATGAAGCTAGAGAGAAGATTGATAGGCTGAACAGGGAAAATGAGGAATTGAGGAAAAGGCTCGTCACGTTGGCGAGGATAGCGGAGGATAATCGAGAGTTGAGAGCGTGAGTTAAACCATTGTTTTGGGTTTGTGTATTAAAACTGAAATTGATTTTATTTAGTGGTAAAATTAATTTGTGGTAAACAAGAGCTTTGTATGACGATTCTTAAAGTAATGGGTCCCAATTTCTGGTCCTTCTATTCTACTGGTCTTTTTTATTGTAGCCTTACATACAGTGTTGTTATAAAATAAAATACTTTTTGTGCTCCTTTGTGCAGTCGGTGCGATTGTGACTTGTTGATAGTATATCGTGTTTTGTTAAAAAGAAACTGTTTTAATGTTTTTATAAATGATATTTACAGGAAAGTAGAAGAAGCGTCAGTGTTACGGCAGTGCGTCCACTCGGCACAACAGGAGGCAGCCAGTTTATTGGCCGACAAACAGGAGCTTTTGGAAGCCATGCGTATTTTACAGGTAAATATTATTTCGAAGTATTTATTATTACATGACACTTTGTTGTCTAACGCCCTAACACTGAAAGGCTACTCAATTTTAATTTGTACTTAAATATCGTGCCGTCTCTGTCATTGTACAAAGAATTTGTAGAGACAGAACTATATTTAAGCGCGATTTCAAATTGAGTAGCCTTTCAGTATTCGGGCGTAAGGCATTCTTGAAAGTTTAAAAGAATGTGTTATTATGTTGATTAATCCTTTATTGGAGCTGGTCGGATAAGACCTCAAATGTTTTTCAGCTAATCACCAAATAAAATTGGATTGCATGTTTAACGTAAGTTAGGGTTCATATTCATGCGAGACACGACAAGAACATAATACAAAAAAGAACACCAAATAATCCAACTTGTAATCTTTTGGTGGCGTATTATGACGTCTTAAAGCCTGAGTGGTTCCGTTGAGGGAATGAGATCTCGCTAGACAACTTGAATAGCTCTGCTTCTTTCCCTCAATGGAACCATTCTGACTGTAGGACGTCATAATAACCCCATCATAAACGTTATAAAAAAGCCAAGTGGTTCCGTTGAGGGAACTATATCTTGCTAGACGACTTGTATTGCTCTGTTTCTTTCCCTCAATGGAACCATTCTGACTGTAGGACGTCATAATAACCCCATCATAAACGTCATAAAAAAGCCAAGTGGTTCCGTTGAGGGAACGACATCTTGCTAGACGACTTGTATTGCTCTGTTTCTTTCCCTCAATGGAACCATTCTGACTGTAGGACGTCATAATAACCCCATCATAAACGTGATAAAAAAGCCAAGTGGTTCCGTTGAGGGAACGAGATCTCGCTAGACGACTTGTATTGCTCTGTTTCTTTCCCTCAATGGAACCATTCTGACTGTAGAACGTCATAATAACCTCGCTGGTCGATGGACTGCCTACCTACAGGATAAATGAAGCTACATTTTTCAATACTCTAAATTTTATCTTCCAATTTTCCAGGAACAGATATCAGGAGGATGTCGCGGCAAAAGATAGCGGTCGCGAGGCGGTCCCCCGCAGGGCTGCCTCGACTGTACAGCGTGCTGCGGCGACCAGCAGACGTAGACACATACACGTACCAACCCTGGTACCGCGCCAAACGGTATATTCATACTTTTGTATAGGATTATGGACGGAAAATGTACGCTTAATGTATTGTAAGCAGCATATTGGTATGAACAAAAGTTTTGTCATATTTATAACTCTAAAACGGCTGTACTGATTGTAATGAGATTTAGTTGACAGGTGTAAAATGTACAGTTATTGTATTGAGCAAAATATTGGTTTAAAAAGATACTTATGCATGAAACAATAAAGTCATATTTATAACTCAAGAACGGCTGCACTGATTTTAACGAGAATTGGTTTCAAAGAGACAGATGGAAAATATACCCGAAGGACGGATTCCTTCAAATAAGTACATGAATACGTGAAACAAAGTCGTGTTTGTTGAAGAGATCAAATTACAGATTTAAAAAATTTTGTTTGAATAATTTAATTGTCCGATCTCAATTCCGCTCTAAAATATGGTTGAAGTACTTACATCAGCATTTATATAGTGATATTTTTGTTATAAATAACTAAATAAATTAAAAAAACGGCTCGATATCGACGGCGAACTCGCGTGATAGAGAAAGCTCTACTAATTTCAAGTCACACCAGGGCTCTTGGCCTTAAGCAGGGGGCGCAACGCAGCCAACTCAGTAGGTAGATGAAACGGTTGGTTCATTAGAGCCGGCCAATTAAAGCACCGAATGCAAAGTTGTTTCAATTACTGTAAACGTAAAACAACTACGTACTAAGCCCTATGACGTTTTATCAAATATTTCAAGTATTATAACATACAAAATAATAATACTTAATTCATTTTTGAAAGTTGAATAAATCTAAATTGGCTGCTATTTACTTATTAAAAAAACATTTAATTTTACTAAAGACTTCATAAACCTTAAATAAAAAAAATGTTATAAAACTACCTATATGTTGCATTTTTATAAGTGTAGCATACCTGACTATATTTAACTAAATGTGTGATACCCAGAATCATGTCGTAGAATGTAGATATGTATAACAAAGTTATGATCATAAATAAATTGGCCATATTATAATGTGTGTAATTGTAGTTCGGTGTAAATAATAAAACTTCCTACAGCCCCAAAAATCTCTTTTTCAATTGCATATTTAAGGATTTGTAAAATGTTGAGTCTTTATATATTTATTATAATAAACATCTGAATATTACCTCAATATGAACATTAATAATAGAAATCTATTCTCAATAGAAATAGCCATAGTTAAACAAAAGATCTATTCCAAAAATGGCGTTAAAGAGATCTGAGAACCTAATAAAACTATTATTGTAAAGTAAATAATAATAGATACTATTAAATATTTCTCATAACTTAGAAAAACTGAATATTTCCCTATTCCATCCTGTCAGATGCCCAATTGTTACTTTCCTGTCATACAAAAACTTTTATTTTATATAAATCTTGATGATTTCATATGTGACTCTTAGATAGTTATGTATTAAAAATAAATATGGCTATGAGAGAGTAGGTAGATTGAATTGGTCAGCTGCTGTTGTAAAGATATTTTAAATAAAAACTACTTAAAAAGCACTATGAGGCTTTTGATGTACATTATCGTATCGTAAACTATTTATAATGTAATCGTTCAATATTATTTTGGTGCCAAAAGCGCAGACTGTATTTTAAATGTATAAACTATGATTTTTTATTCTTTGAACACAATAGAATACAATTTTATTACCGTTGCGTCTTCCATGTTTTTTGTCGATCGATGTTTAAAAAGACGTTCCAAATTCAAACACTTACATATCCTTCTATCTATAGTACGAAGAGTAAAAATCATAGATTTATACTATTATTTTAATGAGGTTGTAAATAAAAGTTTTATATTTTTTTTAAATGAAGTGATGCTTTTCGTTTGTTTAATCTTAATGTATTATTGTACATAATTTTATCAGGTGACGTGATGTAGCTATTTTTTCGGATCTTTTTACTGTTTATTGATAAAATATTTCATTATAAAAAATTCCATTTGTATAAGTTTTGTAAAATTAAGACGTGTTTAGTGGTATTTTTGATACAAACTAGAAAGGGATCAATTTCAACACAAGTCCTTCGGAAAGTTTATGCTTATTAATTCTATAAGTATTGTAAAATACTTGTCTAAATGTACTCGTATCCAATACAGCTAGAAACGTCTTAAAATTCTATGGTATATAAATAAAAAAATATCAAAATATAATATGTATAAATCTTTGAAGAATTCAGTGAGAATTTTTATAGAAGTTAACTTTTGATAGTACATAGGTATTTACATCTCTATATATTTAGTCGATTTAACATCTGTTGCTGTGCAGTGTCTAATACAATCATGTTGCGTTCGTGTCTCGTATGCTACTTGCTGTTAAATGGTGGTAATGTTTATATTTTTTTTTTTTACAGTTGAATTATCTATCCATAACCATCAATATGTTAGCCAGAAGACATTCATCAGAGATATTTATATACAGATTTGTATTAGTCGAATATATTAAATCCACTTTTCATTAATCGATTGTATATTTCAATAAGAAAAGAAATAAAAAAGTACTTACGTTTACAGCACAAGGCATGGCCTAATTTTATATCTTGGATAAACTCCTCATCTGTTATTAATCACATTTTGTTTTACTACTAAATTATTACTACCAATTAACAGATTTTATATCACTTGTTAAAAAGCAATGTATTACCATTTGGTGTAGCTCTATATATCATTATACTTAACTCTTTTACTATGTGTTAGGATAAAAAAACTTGTGCCTGTAATAATTAGGTACATATTAATATATCCGCTTTATGGTCGTTGCTGCCTTTTTATACTCTCATCTATTTAATCGATGTAACTATTAAGAAACTTGCCCTTTGTTCGTCTGTCTTGTATACGATAAAGTGACATTTAGTCGCTGAAAAAAGTAGTATTAAAATTAAAGAAAAAAGGCGGGAACCGCCATCTTTTCTATTCACGGCAAGAAGTAAAGTCACTAAATGTCATTTTGAATCGTTATTTTTCTATACTTTTTTTTCTGTAAGATGATTGAAGGTACTCTGTCCAAGGTATGCTGTCCCTTCGATGAGAAGACGTGTGAAGCTGTGAAGCTGTGAAGCAATCTGACTTTTAAAACATGTACCATAAAGTTGTTGCGATTTATTTAGTTACGAAGGAATTGTTAAAATTAAATTCAATATTCTATAATTTTGTGTTTATTTACTTTATCGTTATAAATTTCAGGAACCTTAAAGTAGCCAAAAACATATAAACCAATACCTGGGGGCTGACTCTTGAATCTAATTCCGATCGTTCGACATTGGTATTGTGAAATTTCGAGGTATAAAAAAATGAGTTTTGATTGTATTGAAATTGCATTGAAATGACATTGAGATTGGTTTCAAGAGTAAGCACCCTGGTAGAATGAAGACTATCTTGGTAAGTTAGGACACGGTTAGCGGCTAGCGTAGTAACTAGATATCCACGGGTTCGGTTCCCTCATAAAACAAGATTTTTGTTCATTCACACGTTCTGGATTTGTGAATTTATTTTAAAACGCACCCAGAACACGACAATGAAAGGGAGAAAATTACGAAAAAAAACTATCCGCACGTAAAGAGTTCAAAACTACAACCAAAGACTTCTATAGTATACTGGAGATTACAACAATGCGAACATTTCTATTTTAAAAAATGTTTTGTTCTGATACAATATCAAAACGCGGAATTTGATTAGTAAAATGCAATGTTACCATTTATAAAAATTTACCCCCATCGTGGAAAATAACAGTATGCGTCATATTCTCATCTATAAAGTTTTATTATTCAATAAACCAGAAAAATGAATGCGTTGATTCTATAATACCAAATTCAGGACACTATGTGTATAGTCATTAAAGTACTTACTTGACATTATAATGTTTACCCATGATAAATTAAATTGTAATAAATAACAAACAAATCAATGTTATCTTTGAGCAATCGATTTATCCGAGATAGAATGGATAAATGGTGATGCAGACTTACTTTAATTTTACATTTTTCTGTGTATAGACATTAATTTTATCAAGGCATCGAAGGGGGTATTAGAATATTTTATTATGGTAACACGAGCACACGTGAGTCAAGAAGTGGGAATAACGTGACTTTCAAGCATTGGCAACATTTTTAGTGATGGCCGATGTTTCAACTTGAACGGGATGCTAACGACCGTTGCCGAATTTTAGTGCTGAAATAAATCAAGTTTCTCATAATTCGGTGTTTTTATGTGAATATTATAAATTCTATTAACATTTAGTGTGATATTGTGTGTTTATTAGTGACTAAATTTCAAGTGTTGTTCAGTAAAGAATGTTTGTTGTGCCCTCGCTCTAACAGGATCACTGGATATTAAAATATTGGATTACGTTTTGCTGTTTATTTAATTGTTCTGGACAAGAGGTAAGTTACTGTCCTTCACGATTTTATTACTTGTTTTGTCAAAATCTTATGTGTCGGTTTTTTATGCCACGAAAGCTGAACGCGTGATATGCGACAGCCGAGCGCCCGGGCAAGATAACGGAAGATTATACTAGAGATTGCAAAGATTCTGATAAGATTCCTTTCTTTACATCAAGACGAAGCCATAAGCATACACCATAAAACCAGTCTTATGCATATAAAGCGACAAATTCCCGTAAAAACAAGTTTTTATGTACCAAACACTGAATTGAACATGCTTCATGCTCTATTTCCTTCTGAAAACTTTGATATAAATTGAGAAATCGCAGTGAGAGGTATTTACGTACCCATTAGACATTTCTTGTTACACATTCTACTTAGTTCCGCACCACAAACTTTGCGAAAAAGTCATATTTTCTCTATAAATCTTAGGTTAGGATACTATTTTTGTCCATTGAAGTTGTACCAAAGTTTTCAACATTAATTAAATCAATGTTATTTGCTTTAAATTGCCAAAACAGAAGTTTTTTAATACATTAAAGTCCAAACATTTGTTAACTACTTAACTAAAACTGAAAGTTTCTAGTTAATTTGAAATAACTTTTTTTATATGTAATGTAAATATTTTTTTAACTGTCATTGACACTTATCTGATGGCCAGTTACATAGACACCTATTCTTTTATAAATGTTCTTGACCTAATGCAATGTTTCCTTACTAAGAATTTTCCCACAACAAAAAATATGTTGAGTTTTAGTAATGAATTTGAATTTTTAATATATTTGATATTTAGGTATTGTTCTGTTAGAAATGGAAATAAATTAGGTAAGTAATATGTTATAGTATTGTACTTAATTAAAAACATGCATAACATGAGTACATTGCATTGTAGCCATTATTGTATTAAGTTTCATTAATAACTAATTAATTTTATCAGATTCATTATGTAACATGAAATGAATATGATTCCTATTGGAAATTTTATACTACACTAATATTTTGTGTTAAAGTTAAACATTTTAAAATGAAAACTTATCAATATTAAGTGTAGCTAGACAATTTGTTGAAATTCTGTTCTTGTTTATTTTGTATTCTCTTTGAAAACAATTCATTTTACCATTTGAATATAGTTTTGATTAAAACCTATATTTAACTCCTTGAGTACCGTCATTATAGACACACTTAAAGAACAATAGGTTGCGGTCACCGGTGTCCTCGCGGTGTTTGACAGTTTCTATACTTAGTATAGCATTATGTAATATTAGCAGACATTCAGCCACTTTGTTGTTGGTACCTAAAATTGTAATAAAAATGAAAATGTCCTAAAATAATCTTATAATCTTCTGTGTAATATCCTAACTTGTGTAAAAGACAATTTACACATAAGTATATCTCTACAAATAAATAAAATCAGTCCAATATTCTTACCATTTTTCTGGCTAAACAGTTAAATAAAATATCAGTAGGTAGTTATCATAAGCTACAGTACTTATTTCATATGACATCACAGATAATATAAATGTGTCATTACAAGGCCACTACAAGATAATTGCCAATAGTGGATCTGTTGTCTATTTTATGGGATGTAAGGCTAATATTAGATGTTATATGATTAAGTTTATACCAAGCAGTACTTAACTTGAATATAATTATGTTAGCTGTGGTTACCTGTAGCCCAGATATTTACATAATTAAGTATAATCTTAGATTATTTTAGTTATACTGTAATTCATAGAATGTGTCCTGTTTACTTGCATTGATTTAGTGAACAATGCTAAAAATAAAATGCATTTTTTTATTCTTAATGCAGCCATTCAGGGATTCATTATACTGGTATGTTATGTCACCTATATAGTGTACATGTTTGATAAATCTATGTTTTGTTTTAAAATATTTATAATCCATAATATCCACTTGTATGTTCATTTCATTGCAGTGATCAATAAATAAACCCTATTATTGTGAATGAAAAATGTGAAACAGCAGCTCTGTCATTTCCACTTCTTATACAAATAAATATGTGACTGTGTTTGATAGCAGTATATACACACAGGTACACATTAAAAGACACCTTAAATAAAGTTCAAAAAGGTTCAAGTTCCAGCAAACTAATAAATGATGCCTGATTTTATTATTCAATAAATAAAAATGTGTATTATTTTATACAGACATAAAACCAGTGGGGATTTACCACCCATCCTGCCTATATTGCATTGATTGTGAATATTATGATGAACCAAGTAGTAAACAAGAACTAAATATGTATATCCTTATCATCGTACTTGCCCTTTTCATTTTCATTATACTGGTACTGTACTATGATAACCAGGTACTAGGTACTATGACATCATGTGAACTACTATATTTTTACATGAAAGTTTAGCTCATCTTAAACACTTAAGTGGTGTCTATAAAATACTTTTTCGCTTTTTTACACAATAGGACATCGTACAGAGGGTTCACCTGATATTTGAAAATATTGCTGAGCAAAGCTTAAATTCAGATTTTATGCAAACAGCCCTGTAATGTTTTTGTGTTGTTCTGCAACTCCTAAGTATAATTTGCCAGTTTCAAGCTGTTGTCTTTATGTAGTCTATTTTCTCAGTTACCTGAACTATATCCAGACCATGATTATGTATTATGAATCATCAATTTACATGATCTAATTCAGTTTTCAAAGTACTTAGTTCATTTCCTGAATGGATTGTTAAAGACATTAACACACTAGTTTAATTTTAGTAGATTGTATCAGTAGACTGAGCAAGCAGTCACCTAGTTGGCAACACTCCATGTTTACCATCATATCACGAAAATAATGTTCTATGATACCTCTTTTCATAAACCTACTTAGACTTTAGACAGTAGACTTTGTTAGTTTATGGTCTCTTTGGAAATAGTAAAAAAAAACATCCTTTGGAATAAATGATTTTATTGTTTTTTTTTACGATCGAGTATCGTAAAATTTTGGTTAAAAATACATGGCAAGGACAAGAAACGCCTAAATAAAGTTGATTAAGTACCTATTCCAGTTTCGATAATGTTATTGAAATTATTTATGATTCATTTATTTTATGACATGACGTAAAATATTTATGATTCACAAAAATGCGGTTGAATTCCTGAAGGGCAGGCTCATTCTTTGCTCCTGACGCGAGAGGAAAGAAGAGCTAAGACCTCGTACTAAGTTGTCACCTCACTACTCCAACAAATACCTAATTTTGTATGACATCAAAATTATTTAAAGTAAAACTACAAAATCTACGTCTACATCAGTCCAATTAAAAATCATAATTTTCAGACCAAAATTCTAATTTCGTTTGCACTGATAATTATGCGAACAATTTTTTTGCTAGCAAAAAACAGAACCAGTAGGTAGGTAGTATGTAAATATATCTACCTAGTTATACCGCTCTGCATACAAGCTATATCAAATAGTAATTAAATACGTACCATTCGGGTCGTACTATGATAACGGTAACCGAAATTGCCCGTCATTTGTTTTTTTTTTAATCACCTGTCTATGTTAATACATTATAATTTGTTTCTTACTTCTTGACTATAAGAACTATGGCTTAGGACTTGGGTAAATTCCTATTGAACTTCGTATTAAAAGGCAAGTTTTAGTTGACGTAGTAGGAAAAGCAATATAATTTTATTTTAAGCGGAAAACTGTAGGTACTGTACCGGTTCCCTCAGAAAGCTGTGTGCAGAAAATAAACCCAAAAGAAGTTACTTTTGGAACCGTTTTTTTACGGTCTCATTAAACCG